TTATAAAATATTTTAAAGAATTCTTACTAAGTTAAATAATATCATTAGTTGCACGAAAGAATATAACTCTTTTATTAAATATTCATTTAAATTTCAAACAAAAAGTATACTTTAACGTCGATCCTGCCAGGAGTCGAACCTGGAATCTTCTGATCCGTAGTCAGACGCGTTATCCATTGCGCCACAGGACCGGTCACAAAACTTTAAGCCGAAAATCATTAATCGAGCGAACAACACACAGCTGATAATTTTCGTTCACGCTGAGTGACATTGAGACTGCTCGGTAGAAAGGCAAAGAGTAAACAAAAGCCAAAATAAAAAATGAGAACAAATATCATTAGATTATACATTTTAGTGTTTATGTTAATGGCATGTCTGCATAACTCAAGTATATAAATAGTAAGTAGATACATATATATTTWTAAGTGTGTATATAGTATACACACATACATATGTGTAGGCATTCAGTGACTTTCGGCAACAACGTAGACAAATAAATAAATAAATAAAATGATAAAGATCGGCTGAATAATTAGCTTTATTAAATATATACTTATTAGGGTATCAGAATCGGAATTAGTGCGAGTCACAAGGCAATGATAAACTTCATATTCAAATTATGTTCATACTATATGTTTGTTAATATGAAGTCATAAAAGGTTGACATTCAAATTGTATTCGTTCATGACGTCGTGAACTAATCTATACTTCTGTCAAACGAACAAAATAGTAACGGTAAAATTTTGGCGACAGTTTTGAAAGCCAGAAACTGACTTATACTGGCTTATTGGAAAGACCAGGACCTGGAAACTCCTGGAAAGGAAGAACGACTGGAGCGCTGCTGTAAACTAGGCTATAACCGCGTAAGCGTTGTCTACGCTAATAAAGAAGAAGATTCTYGAACTAGAGCCCATTCAAAAAATCTATTATTGCAAATGAACGAACGTTATAAATAGCGAAATTGGTACCACAACAGTAACTATGTACATATATGTACATACATATATTCAGTTAATTACTCATATCTCTAGAAATACGCGACTAGTTTTTGCTACAATTTAAATACGGAAAGGTATTTCGATTGGATCTGGGAGAGGGTTTAATGTACTTGAAAAACGGTTTAAAAAATTTGGATATCCGTGATCCCATTGATAATCGCCAAGAGTAACTCTAAAAAAATGTGTCTGGGAGTGAGAAAGATTTTTAAATTTAAAACGTTAACTTAAAAAAAACCTAAATTATTTTCAAAATTGATAAATATATTTCAGAAGATCGTATGGAAATACGAAGTCGATCGGTCCATCAATATTGCAGAATTTTTCCTAACCGAYTATTAAGGCAAAGTTTCGAAAAAAACTTTTTCAAAGCCCTTTACACTAAGCTGAAGATTCTTTCTAAAACGCTCATGTCTCCGAAGCTATTTGCCGCATCGACTTTAATTTTTGGCGAATATTTTCATGCAAAATAATACATCCGATATAACGTATAATCCAAGTAGAGGTGCTTTTTAAATAGATTTTTTTTGGAGAGATCACRCGTGAGTTATGTCAAACTGTTAAGTTTTTTTGTTCAGTATTTTTTGGCATTTCATCATGGGAAGACTTACGCCTGAACAATGTTTCCAATTCGATCAACTTTATTACGACAATTCACGTTCTGTAAAGAATTAGTTTTGCTCACTTCGCTCAATTCAAGAGCTGCCATTTCATTCAAAATAAATAACGGTTTGGTCTGCTTTGTGGTTCGGTGGAACCGGCCGGTCCATATTTTTACAAAATCAAAATTGATGCGGGTGAGAACGTAACCGTCAATGGCGACSGCGCCATGATAACCGACTATTTGATGCCTGAAATGGAAGCTTGTGATCTCGGCGCCAATTGGTTYCAACAAGAAGGCGTCACTTCCCATACATCGCATAAATKAATGGATTTATTGAGAGAACACTTCGGTGAGCAGATAATTTCGTGCTTTGGGCCGGTCGATTGGCYACCAAGATCKTTTGAYATGACACCGTTAGACTTTTTCCTGGGGGTTAAGTTCATAGTCTATGCGAACAAACTYGCCTCGATTCAGACCTTTGAGTAAAATATCACTCATGTCATTCGCCAGTTACCAGTCAAAATGCTCGAACGAGTCATCGAAAATTGGATGGATAGCCTAAGACGTAGTCACGGCCAACATTTGAAAGAGATAATTTTCAAAAAATAAATGTTAAAACATTTTTTTTTTCGAATGATAATAAACATTCCACATTAAATATGAAATTTCTGTGTTTTTTTCTTTTAAAAAAGTAGGAAAACTCGAAATGGTTCATATGCAAAAAAAGAAAATCAAAAGTCACAAGTGAATATAACAGCTTAAATCATAAAAACATAAATTTTGAGATATTCATTTATAACAGGGAGAAGTATACTTTATGACCACATAAAACTGCAGCCTAACACACGCGTTAAGCTTTTTCATAAGTCAGCTACATTTGATAAGATTTATGGGTTTCGTTAGACTTTCACTAAACGAATGCACTCRCGAAGCATTAAAAAACTATAAATTTTAAAGAACAAACAGTAAAAATAAACATAACTACATACATATGTAAATGCCGCCAAAGGAAGTTCTAGCAAAGAAAGTGTGATAAAGAGCAGTAAAAAATATATTTCAATGTCAATTTTTTACCTCTACAAATGCATATTAATACTTGAAATACTAAACAGGAAGTTTCGCTCACATACTCCATGCTTSTTCAATTTTGTCAAATGCTTCTACTTACTTCAAAATTATCTGAAAGCTCTGYGTCTATTTAATGAACGCTTGACAATTGACAAACGCTAACAGCTGATCGGAGATGACTGTCAGTGCAGCTACTGCTGTTGCTGTTGATGAGGTGAAGAAAAGTTCTTAAATGAATTAATTTGTAAATAATTTCCYATACATCATTCATGAAAGTTCAATGCAATTTTTCATTAAAGATTTCGTTTAAGAAAACTGGCAACATAAATACAGAYAAAAAATTTAGCCTGCACATGAAGCTGCACAGCTCTGTCAGACRCGTGTCCGAGTGTGTAAAATTTCAATGCACATTTCCGGCCAGCTCGGCTGTTGCTCACCATGCGTAAAAACGGCACTCAGCACTTACTTTAACTTCGCTCCCTACTGTTTGAAGTTGGCTGTTTATTCAATATTAATTGGCTGCTTTGCTTTACTTGTTTTCGGGGATCACAAGTGGTGCATAGATCAGTATCACTTTTTTTAGTATATATGTACAGTTGTGAAAAAGTATTTATTTATAGTTTTCAAGGCTTTATCTCACTTTCTCTTTATCGAGAACTTTGTAAAGAGTGAGAATTTTAAAAAGATATTTCATAAAATTATAGGATAGAAGAGAATATTTGCTATACRCATAATTTCTATTGTGATATAAAAATAGCAACAAATTTTATCAACTCTCACCGATAACAAATTGAAGGTAATTATGTTGCATTACCTCTAGTATTCTTTAATCAATCTAATATTGTGTAATATTTGTATAATATTAATCTTTAATTTTTTTCGTCTTATCAAGCAATGTAGAATGTAGTCTACACTCCATTCCTCTAATCAAGCATAAGCAAAACAAACTAAGTGCCGTTACTTTTTTCCAATGAAGCATTTTCTTCAGTAAAGTCAAATATTTCAAACAGTGAGCACGTGGTGAAGTACAGAAATTAATAAAAAATAGTTTTTGCGTTTTTTTGTGCTTCTTTTTATGAAAATCAAAAAGGTAAGTGTTCAGAGTTTACTATAAAGCTTCTTTCTTTTCATGTTTTCTAGGTAGTTTTGTATTAGGTGGTATTTWGGGATTGYCATACATACATCATACAGAAAGGGGAACTATTTTGTATTAACACTGCGAATATTTACATAAAATTATTCTTTTTAGCATGGCCAAGCAACTAAGGAGTCTGGCAGACAACATGATCGCCCGTGCACTTGAGGATGATACTACAAGTGAAGATGGTCTCGACTTTGACGACGACAGGTTGGCTGACCCTGATTTCGACCCAGATTTTTGCGAGTTGAATGAATGGTCTTTGGGAGATGGAATTGGCATAGATGATTTGGTAGACTACTTGAGCRATGACGATCGTAATTTCAATCCTGAGGAAGAAGTAGAACCGATGATTAGCAGCTCAGACACTCCAAATACCTTAGGACCTTCTATGAAACGCCGAAAGCCTGAAAAGCTAACACTACTGTGGAAGAAAAAGAATCTAGAGCTAAATGAGCAACAGCTGGCTTTCACTGGTAACGAGTCATTGCTTTCTGATATCTTGGACCTCGACGCTCCTATAGACTATTTCTTGTATCTATTTCCACCTGAACTAATGAGGAAAATTTCTGAAGAGACAAACCTCTATTTGATACAGAAAGATGCGAACAATACTTTTCATGTATCTGAGATAGAAATGCGACAATTTATAGGTGTCGTTTATCTCATGTCACAAATTCAGCTACCTCGGGTGACTAACCATTGGGACTCCATCCTGGGTACAAACGTAATTCAAAACACTATGCCTTCTAGTAAATTTGAAAAGATTWGGCAGCATCTTCAGAAGCCATAGTGAAGAAAGATCGATGATATTCATACTATACTATTAACGGTGTCGATATATCAACAGTTGCTTGAAAGGATAATAAACTTGTTACATTGGCTTCCACGTTTGCTGGGCAAAATCCTATATCCGAAGTCCGAAGATACGACAAAAAGAACTCGAGGTCTATAAACATCTCACGACCGAATGTTGTTGGCGAGTATAACTGACATATGGGCAGTGTGGATCTTATCGACAGCATTATGGGCATCCACAAGATACGACTGAGGAGTAAACGTTGGCAGATGCRCCTGCTCTATCACTACTTAGATCTAATTATGGCTAACTCGTGGCTACTTTATAATAGGGTCTGCAAATATAAAAATCCTACTGATAAGACCATCATTGCATCCGCAGATTTTCGTCTGGAAATTGCCGAAACTTTATGCAAAATGGGGACCAAACAAGGCTTGATAACCCGACGATCAATAGAAGGTGAGCTTCTAGCGAAGAAACATATTGGACCTGCACAACATGTGCCTCCACAAGCGGTCCGCCAAGATCAAGTCGGGCACTGGCCTCAATGGGTGGAAAAAAAATCCGATGCAAGTTCCCGAAAATTGCGGGTTAGCTTTATGCTATACCAAAAACAAAAATTGTTTCAAGAACTTTCATTTGTCCTGAAGTATTTCCATTTTACTCATAATTTTGCCAACTTTCTTTATCACTGTTACTCATTGTTGCCTGTAAGCTACACTCGCTTTTTTTGTGTTATATGTGTTATAAATAAAAAGTTTCAAAACAAAAAAAAAAATATTTTCTGTATATTTTTCCCATAAAACTAACCGATTCCACTAAAAATAGTTAATTTGGAGGTTTTGAGTTATAGAGGGTTAAATGTTATATGTCGCATAAACGGTTTTTCTACTCGAGACGACCTTTTCCACATTATAAATTTTCCAGCTACAATTCCAAAGCGGCCATAAATTTCACAAGTTATTCGCTACAAAATATCTTCCACAAGCATTCTAATGGTATGCCACACGAATGAAGTGCATTCAGCATAAAAAAATTTGCATTTCCGAACTTGGACTCTACACTTGCGCATACCACCATGACTATACTGTATATATTGGTTCGTGTGTTCGTATTTTCATCGACTGCCTAGACTTCGTTGGCAAATTAATTAATGCGCGAATTGAAATAAATTGTTGCCAATACATTTTAGCTGTGGCGGCAGCACTTATTACCCTTGCACTTGAACTTGTGCAAACAAAACAAAACTAACAATGAAATAAAGAATTACCTCGTTAAAGAAATGCATAGCAGGRTAAGTGTGTGAAAAATCGCATTTTAATTGCATTGGCCRCCATTAATCACCACTTTTTTGGCTTCAGATCTAATTTATAGTGGAATATATCAATAATGTTAGGTAATTGTATTCTCAATAACACAAAAACTGAAAAAACAAATAAGACATAATTCATTGTATTGCCTTGCAGTTTTCTGCAAATTCGCTGTGGCCAGGCTCCCAACCATCAGTCCAAGTAATTCGATGTCACAGATGAGGATTCGAAATATTCCTTTAGTAGTTCGGAAGATACTGCATTGACAAATATTTCCCGTTTAAGCTTTGATTCATTTGTAAAAAAGTTCGCTGCCGCTCTTCTCGCGACCTGGTAATTGAAGTATTTTAGCATGACATCAAAGTCTGAAAGTATTACAGAGTGCCCAGGCTCGCATTTATCTATGTACCTAGTTTCTTGGAGTTTGAGCAGCACTCAGTAATTTCTTTRCAAGCGTAGTCTTCTCCAGCGCCTTTCACAATATAAATATTYCACAGATTTATGGAATTATCTATAACGATAGGTTTTACTATGGCCATTTGGGTGAAAGATCCCATCATTTGCCAYTAGATCCTTTGTAGTCGTACATGGAAACTGATGCCTTTTTTGCCATTCATTTTACAAGGCTTTCACGAGAGTTAAGTGGATGGCTCTAATACATTTAATACTATCTGCAGGTTGCACGTTTCTCCTAGCGACGGTAGATGACCTTTCGTTATTCTCTATTTTTTAGTATATAAAACCAGTTTCGTCYTACTGTGATTAATGGCGAGGCCACTTTCGGCAGTCCAGCTGCTTATGCTGGTGCTGGATGGTGAGATATCTTTGAGACACAAAGGTCTTGGAATTTTTTCTCATTCCTGAAGCTACGTTGTCTGTATAGACAATCCTTCGACTACCAGCTTCTTCAAGCTATTTCCGAATATTATTAACAATCATGATCCAGAGTTCCTTTTCGACATTATCGTTATAGATAGAACCTTAGAGATGCTGAGAATGAGATACTTAAGGTCCGATCCAACCTTAAACCCTGTCTCACTTGAAAGGTTTGAAGGGATTGATCGTCCAAGCCAAGATATGCATATTCAGAAGGCTGCTTTAAGCTTCGAAATCAGTTTCATGCGCTTTAAGGGATATTTTTTAGGGGAAGGATTGGGTTCCAAAATGAGAGCTTGAAGGCATCCTCACTGGGTAGAGTCGAGTTACTATTCTTATCGAAGAGTTAAGATTGCACATTTAAGGTACTATGAGAAGCTCATAATGACACAAAGGTTAAGGCAAAAAAGCTTCTTGGATCGAATTTGGATCTGATCATTCTAACTCTAAATAAAATCTTCAATTGATATAATTCATCTTTGCATCAATAGCAAAGGCAAGGCAAKCAATGAGTGCCAGCGCGAGTATCGGAGTCGGTTCTCAAACAGCCGAATGGAGAAGAAAACCGATTTGATGCAAAAAATTTATTAAGACTTTATTATTTTTCATGTTTGGCTTTTATATATACATACATACATATATAGTGTATATAAAAACACATAAATATTACAAAAGCCGATTGCACTTGCAGCGACAGCATCTCTAGCGGCTGACCCAGGGGAAATGCATTGTCTGCAAGTGAGCAAATTCGAGTTTTACTGCTTCTTACGAAATTAAAAACTCCAGAAAAGGAATGTAGTACAGCTACGTAAATAACATCAACAACAATAATAACACAAATGCAATTCATTAAGTAACGCGTTGCTGGCAAAATTTTGCTGCACTCATTTCTTCGGCTTGTCATGCTACGCTTCACTGCKCCACTGCACGCTTGTTGTATATAGTTTGTATGTGGTTGTTTTGCTGCCACAGTTTCCGCCTTCAGCTGCAACACAACTGACCAAAAGGAAGTTCACAGCGCAAGGAGGTGAAGTTGGGTTTCCGGTTTCAAGGAAGTGTGCTGCTTGGCTTTTCAATTTCTTACACTGCTCCCTCTACGTCGACCACTGCGCGACTGTGGCTTTGGCTTGTGACTACAMTGCYRGTTATGTGCGGCTCTCTTCAATTCTTCCACTTCATTCCARTATTCGTAAGCAGCATTAAGTACCATTTTATGTCCACAGCAAATTCTTTAACTCAAGCAATGTCATAAAGTCGGCAAATAATATGCCGTAGTTTTGCGGCAGTTCGCCGCTTTGCTCTTMATTTTAACTACTCACTTACTTAGTTTCGTTTGCTTGTCGAATATCCAGTGATGTTTGCTTTTATTGTCACGASTGTGCYCGCATGCAAGCAGAGWTGCATGCCAGTGGTGAACGGGGCCCAACCAAGTGCTACATATACCAGCGAGCCATCGAGCAAGCCAGCCAGTCAGCTGCATGCAATGCAACAAGATTTGGAGCACTGTTGATGAGATGAAACAATGGTGGCCTGCTGTTGCCGTCGACTAAGCAATCGTCGTGCTATTTGGAGCGTGGATTTGTAGCGTTACATATCCGTATGCACCAGTATGAGTKAGCTTGTAGCTGAAATTGCAGGTTTTTGGCATGCGGTAGCAGTTCGGTCTACCGGCTCAAATTGAAAGCTGTTTTGCAGCGCTTCGGTTGTGTTTGCTGGTGTCTTTTAAAGACATTTTATAGCTTTGTGAATCATTTTCGTAGTAGCAGATGAGTTTTCCTTAAGTTTTAACATAAAAATATATGTAAACGTCTTAATTCGGCTTTGGAACACATAAAATACGGTCGTTAATAGGAAAGCATTAACCGAATAGCTTCTGTGACTATGACTGCATTAATTCCCAAGCAACATCAGCCAATCCACATTTGTGACGACAGTCATTATTTCGTTTCGCTGGTAGCTCAGATGATCAATCATTCATTATGCGAAATTTGAAGATATTAACTGAAAATAAAAAGCTTGAAACCTTTAAGAGTGACGAATTGAATAAACTACTATTTAGAGTATCAAGTATTCACGACAGTCAGGTCTAAGTAACCGAAACGGACCTGGGTTTTTAGCCAGCCAAGGATTGTCAACTCGACATAATGCCTCGAAATTACTTCAGGAATGCTTTCTGCCGCTAMARTAATAACAACGCAGCATAGCAGAGATCAGTAATTTGGAGTTTACTATCCTTAGCTGAATAAGAATCGACTCCGTTCTGATTATGATACTGTCGAACGAACGGACCTTATTCATCCACATAAAATATAAAGATCATCTTGAGTATAGTCGGAAGAACAATAAACTAACATCCATTAAAAATGTATGCTTCTATTTTAATTACAATATTTGAGTTTGAAAGTATACTGTTTCCAGTTTTTAAGATTAGAGTAATACATCCAAGTATATCAGAGAGTAGTATAAATATTCTTTCGAATAATATTTTTCTATTCTGTACTCTCTCCGTTAAATTTGTGGCAAGACATAGTTTCGGAACCACGGTTAACAACTTCTTTTAAGCTTAAAAGCATAAGAAATGTTTCGAATTTATGTATATTCTATCTAATTTTTTTTTCAGCTACAAATTTAGCAAAACTTGGTAATAATAAATGCTAATGTGTATACATACTACGATTTACTTGGCTGCTCTCACTCTTTTACTCACAGATTTCAGAATTTAAGTGTAGAAATAAGTTAAACTAATTTTGCCTTCTTTTATTCATTCGTAAATATGACTTATTTCTTTTTTATATATACTTGTTCCAT